ATAGAAAGTAGGCAACCTAAATTAACAAACCAATAAGAAAAGTAATAAAGTAATAAAAAATTAATAAACCACTAAGAAATTAATGAAATTAATAAATCAGTAACAAAACTAGAAATAAACATGCAATATAATGAGAGAGCGACTCACCAAGTACAAAGTAGACAACCTAAATTAACAAACCAATAACAAAATTAATAAAGCAATAAGAAATTAATAAAATTAATAAACCAGTAACAAAACTAAAAATAAAAATGCAATATAATAAAAGAATATCTTACCAAGTAGAAAGTAGACAACCTTCCCTAGTGTCTTCAGCCCAAATCCGAGCAGTCCAATCGCCGACCGTCAAAAATACCGACGGATTAAACACATTACGATCCGCCGACCTCACCGGACCAAAATGAGCTTCTAATCTAACTGCCAACTTCTCGGCATTCGTTTTCACCTTTCTGGTGCCCGTCACGACGATACCGTTCTCCATGCCGAACATGAACTTGGTGCCTACCAAAGGACCGTGGTTCAAGCACGAAACTCCAACAGCTCTGTCGATGTTAGGGTCATTTGGGTTCTCGAAATCGAACATTAAAATTTCGATGGGTTTTCGAAGCTGTCGCGTGTCCCACCACATCGCTTGACCGCCGGAAGATGCGGAGAAGAATTCTGTGTTGCTTTTGCTCGTCAGCCATCTTACGGAATTCACGTAGTCTCTAGGAAAATGATATTTGATTTACATAAATATTTTATGCACAGAAAAATTATTTTCCTAGAATTTGAGTGATGCTATTTATTTAAAATTAATAAAATCTCTACAGAAAATTAGAAGTCCTCAAGTTCATTGCATGAAATGAAATTCTTTGCAGAAAAGATCCTCAAAACCCATCTGTCAAATTCTCTATGTGAAAATATAACTCCTTAAATTCCCTACAAAAAATTAAAAATCCTCAAATTTCCTAAAATCCACAAAAGAGGAAATTATACAAAACCCCATCCCTTCCTCAACGTACCAAACCTTCATACCCGAAAACAGCCCGAACAATTAGCACACAATCATCCCGACGAAAACAGTGGCTTCAATTAGCATTTCCCGCGAACACGTTCGAAAAATGTTCGAGTTAATAGATCGAGCGAATGTCCGTCGGAAGAAAAGCCAGAGCTTTGCAGACAAAGCCCGAGGCGTCTGAACACGTACCGCCTTCGCTTACCTGTGACTGTATAGCAGATGCGAAGTCTGAACGGGTTTCTTGCCGGTCCTGATATCCCAGTTACAGACCTGGCCTGACTTAAGACCGCTGGCAAGGACAGAAGGATCCCGGGGATTAAATTCGCAAACCACGCTCGGGCAAAAAGGATCCAGGGCCATGCAAGGCTCGTTCGGATTGTCTGGTCGTGAAATGACGAAGGCGTTTCGTAATCCGGATTATGTGAGAGGAGAAAATATATGAAGCTTGTGTTTGTTTTTTTCGATGTAGTGTCTTTGTATTCGGTATCGACTTTTCAACGAGTTAGGTGCCTTGTGGGATGGTGAGAGGGGATGATGGAGATGAGAGTTTGATAGGTGTGATTTGTTTGGAGTAGGTATCTTTTGACTGGGTTTGTAGTGTGGTGTATTCACACATATGTGAGATGTATAAATACATACATGTGATGTATAAGTAGATACATGTGATGTATGAACACATATGTGTGATGTATAAACACATACGCGTGATGTAACATATGAACACATATGTATGATGTATAAGTAGATATACGTGATGTATGAACACATATGTATGATGTATAAATATATACATGTGATGTATGAATACATATGTGTGATGTATAAACACATACGTGTGATGTAACATATGAACACATATATATGATGTATAAGTAGATATATGTGATGTATGAACACATATGTATGATGTATAAGTAGATATACGTGATGTATGAACACATATATATGATGTATAAATATATACATGTGATGTATGAACACATATGTGTGGTGTATAAACACATACGTGTGATGTAACATATGAACACATATGTATGATGTATAAGTAGATATACGTGATGTATGAACACATATGTATGATGTATAAATATATACATGTGATGTATGAACACATACGTGTGATATATAAATACATACATGTGATGTATGAACACATGTATGGAATGTATAAACACATACATATGATGCATGAACAACAGTGACGTTGTTATCAATAATAGAATGTTTGTCAACATAATGTTAAGAGATGTTAGCGAACAAATTTTTGGATTTATGGATTTGAAAGTTGTAGAAAATTTAATACGTGCACTCTTTATTTTTAAGTACCTACCAACCTGCCAGATGTACACGTTGTTACCATAATCTTGCTGACTACCAAACTTCAGGTAGCAGTAACTAACTGCGAGCCTGCTTCCATTATCTGGTGACCAGGAGATGTTGGTCACTGGCCTCTTCGGGGTATCTGGATACTCGTATATATTCACTGTTCTAAAAAGAAAATAATAATCAATCACACTACCACAATTTAACACTGATCCAAGCAGATCAAAATGATCGATCAGAGGATTTGATTTAATTTTAGGATACGAATAGTCAAGATCATAAAATTTGTTCACAATATTTTCTTGAAAAAATGATCCTTATAAAATGAAATTAATTAATGTGTAAATTATTTTATCCTTGATGTGTAATTTTATTTTTGAATTTATAATGGAATCTCATAAACACATGAAATTAACATGTACACTATTTCATCCTTGATGTACCATTCCATTTTTGAAACTTAACTATAACTAAACTTAAAATTTATAATTGAACTTTGAATTCACAATGGAGCACTCAATTTCCAATTCAAGTAAACGATATGACGCTTCTGTCAATTGAGATGAAATGCAACGAAGTTACACAGTTAACTAGAAGGGATCTTCGAAGATCCAGTTCTACCAAGAGTTAGTTGTCTCAAAATCAAATGAGACCTTCCTGAACTAACTGTTAGACATAGTAAGCTTATGTTACACCAGAATATACATTCCCTTACCTGAGACCGAGGGGTTGTACCAGCTCTGTCGGTATCATGTCGCTGAAGTAGTGTTGGTAAATGTTCAATGCGCCATTTTGAAGAATATTGCCTTCCATTATCTGTAATGAAACATCCGTTCATGTTGATTAATAAATACACTGTTAAAATAAATACACTGCAACTTTTTACCATGTGCAATATATTTTTCACTTTAAATAATTTACTTCCATTAATTCATTTATTTTACTTCAATTCATTTAATTGAAATTAAACGAATGAACAAATAAGTCACTTTAATGTTTAATAATTTTAGTGACACTAAATTTTCATTTTATCATGAGTACACATATATTTTATTTTAGAATATTCTACAAGACTGAACAAATAAATACGGTGTAATCATTTTTCATGTTGTACAATGTTAAAACAGAATTATTCTAGTGGCTCTACGGTCTCATTTCCTCATAAGTACATGTATAGGGTGTCTCACAACTAGTGTAGGTCCCTGAAATGGGAGGTAGTTGACAAGATTCTGAATAAGATTTCCCTTTGCAAAAATGGAATTTGTTCACGATCGCAGCAGGTTCGAAGCCATCACTACCTCAGTTTTTCCTTAATAATTCAAAAACGAAGCTTCAAACCCCATTTTCGCAAAGGGAAATCTTATTCAGATTCACGTCATCTACCCCCCATTTCAGGGACTTACTCAAGTTATGAAACACCCTGTATATTTTCTTTTACAACATTCTACAAGAATAAACAAATAAATCATTTTCCACATCCTACAATATTAAAATTTAATTATTCCAGTGGCTCCAAATTTTCACTTCACATATTTCAGAATAGTACAAGATAAATATTACCGAACATTTCACAAAAAAAAATTTCGGACCGAAATGAAATTTTTCCGTTCGTATAATTAGAATCGACATTAAACGTCAGTCTAACGAGATAACATTCTTTCCGACTGTCAATTTCCCAGCCATCTCCATTTTTCCATCGGAAAATAGATTGGAAAGTTTCGGAAGTGTCGGTGGCTGGATATACGTGTTCGAAGGGAGAAAGTCGGAGGGTCTTTGAGGCATCGAGACTCAAACTTCAATCGATCAAGCCGATAACTTACCTCGAACAACTTACGTAATTTCGGTGCCCAGTTGTCGTCCTTTTCGACCCTCCTGCGAAACCTGGCCGTGGTCTCCTCGTCCCTGGGATTGATCTCCTTCGGCCAACCACCCTCGAAATGAAACATTCCGCTGTTTTTCACGGTCTTGCAGATGGTTTGAACCTTGAATTTACAAGCGGGAACAACGTCGGGCCACGAACGAAATATTCCGCACGATTTACAGAAGATTTCCAGACGACTTGTGAATTATTTATGCTACGTCCGGAAGAGTTTATTGCGCGAATTTCACGATTTGTTGCCAACCTGTCTGGCAGGTTACTGTCGCTTCATGTAATTACTGACAAATATTTGCGGAAAATTTATTTTTGGGTAGATTTTTGTGGATTTATATTTTTAAATGTAAATCGGTGCTTTAGACAGTTCTTTTTGGGATTGTATATTGATTTTTGGTAAACTTTTTGTAGGTTTTTAGTGGGTTTTGAGTAGATTTTTAGAATATTTTTAGTAGATTTTGTGTATGCTTTTATGTAGATGAAAATGTCTAATTTTACTAGTAAATTTCTAGTGCATTTTCAGTGAATTTTATATATTTCTTACATACGTTTTACATACATTTTTACCCAAATAAAAATTCTCCAATTCATTGAGTAATAATTTTAAATGATGTTAAAAATAAAAATTTTTCTCTTATGATTTTTGTGTGAGAAATATTTGGAGGTATGTATATGTTACCATAAAAGACCGAAATTGGAGAATGTCGACATATACCAAATACGTCGGTGAAAGACCGAATATTTTATTACATTCTTGTACATTCGGATCTTCACCGGTGTATGTCGACAATCACAGATATGCTCTGGTGGAGGTCCAAAAGAGAGGAGCCGACAAAGAAGCGACTGGCTCTCTCCCGCCAAATCCTGTGTTCTGCTGGGAGTCAGTCAGCTTTGTCAATCTTACGCAAGCTTTGATGATGCGAGCAACGTTTTCTTAATTTTTTTTTTCCAATACCGTAATTTATACTGAATGGATACTGCAGTAAATCGTGATCTTTTTCTTGAAAAGTTAAATGCATTAATTGCGGGTAAACGAGAAGACAATTGTTTCAATTTTTCTCAAGAAAAGTACTCTAAAATACTTTCTGAAGTGGTTTCTGCTAAAACTAAGTGCAACACACCTTTGGATTACAGACGATTAAAACGTTTTGACGTTTTAAAAATTAATGATGAAAGGAAATTAATTGTACCATTAAAATCAGGGGAAACGAATATACAGTATTATGTTACCAATGAAGAATTGTTCAGTATACT